TAAGAAAAAAAATTTTTTGAAAGTTTGAAAAAAATAGGTTAGCGGGTTATGCCAAACGAAAAATTAACTTTGCACAGCCTTATCCTGTTTATAATACTTGAATTTATTTAATGAGATTTTCTACTGTCATCATGATTACTTTTTGATATATAACTGATTAAACTTATTCATGATACTATTAAAGATATATCTCATTAATGTTTAAAAACTTTGCATATGAAACTGGCTTGCTTAAAATTTCTGAAAGTGATTGTTTGTATTGAGTATAATTTTTTAATTTTTGTTTATAATCAAATTGTTGTTAATATTTTTTCAAATAAAGTTATTTATCATAAAAATTATTTAATTTATTTTAATTTATTTGAAAATATATTTTCTTTATCAAATTAGATAATATTCTTAATTGTAATATAAAAATTTTTAAAATTTTACCTGTAAGATCCGGTCTATCTTGTGGTGTTTGCATTGGTAATAGTTCTGCTGTAATTTCGGGCCACCAAGGGTTACATGTAATAGTAATAAATATATCTGGTTTCCCGTAAGCTTGCACTAATGCCATCGCATCTTAATACCGTTGGTACATGTCTCGAGGACCGCCCATAAAAGATGAAGGTAAAATAACACGGCATCCTACTTCAGATGCATTAATAATTCCTGATTGAACAGAATCGTGTAATCCTTGGTAATATTCTTTACGAATTTTGTCCTGGTTAAAACGTAAGTAACTAAGACGTGAAGATTCAATTTTAACATAATTATCAACAACATATTGTTGTAAAAGTCGACCGCCAAAAAAAAGTAACGTTGAAGACAATTCGCGAAAATGAAGTTTGTACGAATAGTACTGCCTCATGGTAACTTTTTTTTGAGATGTATTTTGTAATATTCCCGGATGCCAGCCATAATCTCCTCTAGGGAAGAGCAATGGGTATTGCATCGGGTCATAGCAACCACTAAGTTCTGATACTCGTTGTAGACCTTGTGATCGCGATTGTACAATTATATCACGTTCAGTATAATTTATGTGATCATTTCCTTCTACCCATACAGCAGCAACTTGTGAAGTTGTTGGCATATTGTAGGTACGTTGGTCTAAGCCATGATCGGCTCTGATAAGAAGACGAAGTTCTGTTATATTGCTAGCAGAAGAAATTGATCGGAAGTTAACTACAAAAGGGTTTAAACGGTCTAATATTGACTTGATAAATTCTAAGGTATTTCGACGAAGCCGAGGCATTAAATTTAGTCTATTTGCAATTTCGAATTCGGTATCATAAATATATAATTGAAGAAATTTTGGGACACCATCAATTGGACAAAGTGACCCTATAGAATGATATATTCCACCTTGTATTCGAAATGTATAGATACCATCTTTGCCTATTTAAGAAATTAATATGTAGTTAAATATAATTAAGTATAATTTTTCTGAATAATATTTCTTACCATTAGCAAGGGTTTCATCTAATTTAACACCCATAGAAGTGAACGCAAAAATGCTATTATAAGCTCTAATATTATCACGAAAGTTCTTTCCTATATTATCGTCTCTAGTAAATAAGTTTTTTAAAGTTACAGTATCATCTGCCGAGGATAGTCTATTATAATAAAAAATTAAAAAATCAACAACATTGTATATAATAAGATCAATTAATGTTAATTTACTCACTTAATTTTTCCGAATCCACAGCATGTTCCTTGTGTTTCAGTAGGAAAGAGTCTGGCATCACAGTAAGTACATATTCGTATTGTATCAAAAACATGACGATTGAATGTATTTGTTTCACTAAAATAATAACCAATGTTATGGCTCCTAGGCTGATTTTTTGACTTTCGTAATCTTTGTATTCAAGAAGTATTTGCTTCCCGATTTTCTTTAGCAGTTCGTGGACGGAGTGTATGAAGACGTGGCATTTATTGAGCAAATTTATTTAACTGGAATTTTTTAACTGGAATTTGTTTTACTGAAATTTAATTATTTACAAATTTACATTTATTTATTATCAAAGAGTTTATTTACCATTTATCAAAGAATCAAAGAAGTCAAATTCAATGGTAATTATATTTGATGGAATAATCTTTAAAATTTCTACAGTTAACACAACCTTATACTTGTTTATTTATTATGTGCTAGCTGTTTGAAAATAGTGTTTGCGATTACATTATTCACGACCAATTTTATTAGATCTCTCATATACCGCAATTCAACGTAATATTATTATAATTTTATGTAATTATTGTGCAATAAGCACATGTTTGATTTTTGAAAGCCCAATATAAAAAGATTCTATATTTAGACATGACTTTACTCATATTTCGATAGAAAGTTTAGTTCAGAATACAGTAACAGATATTTATTTAGTAGCATTGGAAGAACTCAAAGAATTAACGAATTAGTTTGTGCTAGTATTTTATTTATGAGACAATCTTACAAATTGCAAAATTTTATAGCATAAAATAATTTTTTTATAACATAACTACTGTATAATATTTATTTTTGCATAATTATTACATTTTGGAATTCACTATTTTTTAATTAGCTACTATAAAATGATTATGACCAATTCCCGATTATGCAAATACAGTAGCAAATATTATAACCTGATAGTAAGCATCGATATCGTGTTGTTACTAAATCCAGATTTTAATTATATTAGATTCCAATTAAATTCACATTTCAGCCCGATGACACGCCTGACCTGATTATTCACATACAATACTCGAATTAGATTTTTATAATATAAAATAATCTCGTATAACACAACTATTACAGGTTTGGAATTTAACTTTCTTGATTACACAAATAGCGAATACCATAGCCCGTAGCCTGATTTTGACCGTATATTTCACATACTATCACTTTTTTAGAAAGAATTGATTTTTATTAGTTTTACAGTTTTAGTTATGACAACAAATGTTACAACCCGCTAACGCTAATAACCATAGTTATCCGACAAACTCTCATGATAATGAATTTATTTTTGTCTGTTATTTTTTTTCATGTATTACGAAATATTCCCGTTTACTCGAATTAAAAATCAATCGACGATTTTCTACCAATCATAAATTGTCGGAAAACACCATTATTCAAAAATTTTTGCCGAATAATGTATACTCACATAACTATTTTGGATGAAATCAGATTTTTTAGTAATTTTAGATACAACCAATCAAAAAATTATTAAAGCATACAAATCCAGAATTGAAATAAAATAATTACAGGTTTTTCCTTGGAAGAACCCATATATCACGTACATTCCTATATACCAATATATAATTTTGGAAATTCAGGTACATTGTTTACTCAAATAGCAAGTGCCATAACTAATACTATAACATTTTTGGGTGGATTTAGATTTTAACAACCAATCAAAAGCGTTAAAGCGTACACACCCAGAATTGAATAT